GGCATACTATCACGCGATGGTGGTATCGATGGCACAATAGCAAAAGTCTATGACTTAGTTGGAATAGTTTCAAGAGATATTAGTAAATTTCGAATAAGCTGCTAATATTTTTCAAAAAAAATGCCTAAGTAATTGCAAGGACGCCAACATTTTGATACAAAGTTATCTGTTCCATCACAATCTAAATGTATGGAGGAAACTAAAAAATAATATTAAATTAGAAAAATGGTGAATAACAACTAGATAGGTAACCGAATTTGAACGTTCTGTATCGAAATTGAAAAATATTTACAAACGTCAATAAAACAATTGAATAAAAATAAAAACCAAACTAATTCTGTATAGCTTTGGGAAGTCATCGTGAAAGGGTTAACTATTGTACCTAGTTGATTGGTTGTGGTTGTATGGTTGGTCGCGTCCAATATCACGCTACGGAGCCCCACAAGGGACGCTTTCGTGCATTAATTTCCTTACTAATCGAATAAATAACGACACAAACACACTTTGACCTCCAAGGAAGGAATACTCTTAAGTAACTAACGGCCAAAATCAATAATCGATCTTTGACATCGGTTCGTTCTATTAGTTTGTATGAGACAAACGTAAATGGATAACTCGTCTTCGTAAGCAATGTATCAGGTCGACTAATTTAGCGATCCTTTAGTAATTTTTGCATCGATCGGAAATAAGTAATGGGTTCGGTCTTTATTCATATTAACAGTATAGTTATAATCGTCATCAGTATAAACAACATCTTTTTTTTTTAGAATGGCTGCTAGATGTAGCACACAATCTGAAGGAACACATATGCTACCTATGATTCTGGAAATATGTACGGTTCCCGTGGTTCCCGTTTGATTTACACATTTACTCGATAACTCCACAACTGTTCATCAAATCTTATTGAAATTTGGCACAAATATAGAACATAGTCTCAAGTAACACATGAAATACTTATTATATTTTTTAAATATTTACGTAAATGAAGTCAATTCAAAGAGGAGCACTAGATTGATAGTAAACTGTAAGTTAGTAAATTTTCCTCGTCTTTCGACTTTTCGCGACGTAATATTCTCCATCAGTAGGATAAGTTTTCTTGAAATTAACAAAGTTTAGCCTTTCGCCGTACGGTTTAAGAAAATGTAAATTTTGATGACATTTCCAAATAATTATGGACTATTAAGGAATCAGAATATTATCAATTTAGAACAATATAACCAATTCTACTTAACCAATAGCGTCGGTGGCTCATGGGTTAAAGCATTTCTAATTTCCATGTCCTGGGTTCAACTCCCACTCAGGATACTCACACAGTTACTAAGTTCCTCTTAGCAAAATCTGATTATAAGAACCCAACATCCATTATCACATCGTTTTGAAAAAAACAACTTATGTAGTTAAGAGTGCGACGAGAGAGAATTACAACAGTACGCTAATTTTAAAACTATTTAGATAAATTTAGTGTTGATTTAATTTACAAAAATATATAAAATTTTAAATGAATAATAAACGATTGTCTTAATTTGAGTTTTCGATGCCATTGGTAGACAATAACTGTTATAACAATGCTCTGAGGCTTTCTATCTTTTGTTTAAGACCGCCCCTTTCCAATAAAGCAACGTCCGGGTCAGAGGATTCTCAAATCGTTACTTTATAAAGCAATTAATATTAACCTTCCTTCAGGACAGTACACAATTACTCATCGAATTTCAATACAATTAATTTTCTTTTGTAATAGAATAACTTCCACTAGTCATTGTTAATTTAATATGACTTTATTCGATTTTTCCGTTAAAATACATCGAATGAAGAAAAACTACGAGTTGCCAATTTTTATTGTGTCGGGTAATATGTACTTTTAGACAATATTAGTTGAAAACATTTGGAGAGAAAGTCACGCTTTTGTTACCAAGTCAATTATTTGATTAGTGATTTTAATAAGGCTAGTGTTGCGCCGATACACCGGCACAGTGTCGGTTTCTCTTCATAACTATACCTACTCGTATTTCGCAAGAGAGTTAATTCGTTCGTACAGGACTCTTATGAAAATCAATTGTTATTTTTGAACACTATTTAACTTCACTTCATATAAGCATGCATACTTATATATATCGGTAATCGGTATGTATATGGACGAGGCAAGGGTGTGCCAAGACTGCGCCAAAAGAAAATCCGTCATCTCTGCCTTCCATGTTATATAAATAGAATTTAATGTAAAAAATTATTGATACCAACATTATAATGCAAATGAAATTCCTCCATATAAAATAATTATAGGTGATTCGAGTGAGGGAAAGTTACAAGGGTAATAACAGTCGGAACGTGACGCGGTAATAAGAAAGTACGTGTGTCGGAAACCGATCTGAACATAGCGAGGCCACGTGACCAATCATCTGAGAGCTACACGTCAAACGAGATTGCTTATTTAATAAATTATAAATCGAAGTTATCTGATCTTCGATGGCTCAGGGGTTAAACATGGAAATCCAAACAAAAAAAGCTTATTAGTAGCCTATGTATTCTTTCAGGCTATAGTATCAATGACAAATTTTGTAGATCTAATTCAAGAAATACCTTCTAACAAACATCCATTCGAGCGTCGGTGGCTCAGTGGTCAAGCACTTGACTTGCAATCTGCAGGTCCTGGGTTCGAATCCCGCCATATACTTATGTGTTTTTCGATTTCCGATTTACATATGTACATTTATCCGACGTTCTTACGGTGAAGGAAAACATCGTGATGCAACCTGCACATATCTGAGAAGTAATTCAAAGATATGTGTGAAGTCAACCAACTTGGCCAGCGTGGTTGACTATGGCCTAATCACCCTTAACTTAGGGTAGGCTCCGAGCCCCTCGGTGGGGACGTATAGTGAGCTGATGATGATGATGAAACATCCATTCAAATATTCGCATTTGTAATAATAATAAGATATATATATTATTTGTGTGTTTTTAGATGTCATAACCTCAACAAGCACATGTCTGTAAAGTCAACATCAAATTTAGTTCAAAACTGAGTGCCAACATTGGATCCTATTTCAATAACTAATTAATGTTAATTTATTTGACATAGAAACTTTGGTTTCACAAACTTAATCGCTTAACGGTGCTGGAGGAAACTTTAACTACGCCTAATTGTGATAAAGGATAAATACGAGATATAACGTACACTAATTACTTTGCTATATACATTTTACTTAATTAAGTGTGTATTTATGTAATGTTCTTGTGTTAACAATTCATATGTAAAAGAACAATAATTATGTAAAGTACGTATAGTGTGAAATCGGTTATATACCGTAAGTATATTAAGCAGTTGTTATAAATAAAAAAAACTGGTCAAGTGCGAGTTCGACTCGCGCCCTGAAGGTTCCGAATATACCTGTAGATATAAGTTAAGTTAACTAGAGTACTAGTTAAGACAAGAAAGTACCCTTATAGGTTTTAATTCTCTGGTTTGCGTAAATTTGCAACATAAACGGGTGTATCTTTTGATTGCGTTGGCTTAGAAGTTTTATTTTTTTAAAGCAACAAGGAACAGCAGACCTAAGTATTTGATTTAAATTCCAGCTTGATACGTTCACGCGTTCTTGAGAAAAAGGGCCTGGACAGACAGACGGACGGGCAGTAAAGTGTTCCTATAAGTGATCCTTTGTTTTTTTTCCTTTCGAGGTACGGAACCCTAATAAAATATTATAATATTCGTATTCCACCAGCTTATTTCTGTCATCGATTAAATAGCATGCTTTTGCAATGTGCCTAGGCAAATTGTAAGGCGACACATAATGTGTACATCAATAAATAAGGAAAAGCTATCAACCTCAATTTAAACCAACATATCACGTCATGTTGTCTCGTATGATAAGTTACTGTAAAATTACGAAATCTAGTCAACCCTAAAATTTACCGGTAAAAATTAAAACCTTCAAAAGTTTTGGTACGAATTAATTATTGCCAGTTCCCTCGATGTTGTTATAACCGATTTTTACTTGAGATAATAGTATATATTATATTTTTGTTATTTTTATATATTAAATTCATTGTATCCTAATTTGTATTCGCTGAGAAGTTTCCAGTAAGGCCTTTGCATACAGAGCAACCAATTTTGAAATTACTTTATTCAATATACTTCCTAATTTGAAATGAGCTCGAATCCAATTTTGTATTTTATATAAATTTTCCCTACATAGGGTAAATTTTTTGTAGGGACTATTTTCCTATAATTATAGGAAACAGGGTACTTTTAGGATTGAAATGAGAGAAATTTTCGTCCCTATTTTCACATATTGACAGGTACAAGAATAAAGGCAAGCTACTAAAATGATTATTACGAAAGTCTTGTAACTAGTAGAACACGACGCTTATGACGCAAAAAGTCAAAATGATAAGAATCCTAAAAAAAAATCTTACTACTTATTACTACGGATGTAGAAATCTATATTTGACACACATTGAACTTATTAATAAACATCCTGTTCCAACAAATATATTCGAGTCCGTTATCACTAATTGGTCCACTATTAGTTAGAAGGCACAATAATCTTCACTTAGTAACTACATATTCCATATTTATGAATAAAAATGAAATCTATGCGTTATTGAAAAACGAATGCGTGAATCAGACAGCAAACAATTTTGATAGATTGGTAACAACTTATAAGTTGAAGCATCTCTGTGGATGTCGACTTTCGGCAAAAGCCTACGTAATAGCCCCCTCGAGTGAACAACTTTCCGCAAAATTAACAAAGTTTAGTCTCTCCCCGAGTAGCGGGATCTGACGCAATGTAAATTGTGATGAAATTTGCAAATAAAACAGGTCTTAAGAAAATGTTTGCGGGGCAAATCCCCTGATGTAAACATGTAATCATTTTTTTCCCTTCTTGTAAATGTTTATAATTATTATCTCTGCTGAATTCTAATGAAAATATTCTTAAATAAGGCATTTTTTATTGAGTTATTATCAAAAATATCTTAACAATTTTTTTACTTTTTTTTTCAGATTAATTTGCGATCCGTGATAATATGCCAGTGACTCACTAATATCTGGTAAGTATATAACTATTTATTCTATAATATTTCGAATTGTTTCTCATTACAATGACTAACGACATAAAAATACAACTCGGACAAATCCGTTGTAAGCCAGCTTTTAAAATTCAATTTACATTAATACCACAAAATATTTACGTTACAGATCAAATAAAATATATTAAAATTATCTATATAAATAATGGTTAAGAGAATATAACATAAACATGTAATGATTTATTACTCTCCGAACCTTGACTGGCTTCTGTCCATTTACTTAATTGAGAGGAACAGAGGAACACGTGGTAATGTATGTTTGATCTAACGGTCATTAGGCAATGTGAACTGGACTGTGTTACAAGCTCATATGTTACATACGTATTGTATTCTAGTATCAAAATTATGTAGTAGCACTATAATGGGAAATGTTTGGTTTTTGGGCCGATTAGGCGATTCAGTTTATAGAACCAATATCGATCGGAAGGCCGACTGACGCAATGGGGATTCATATCCCATTTGGTTTATTAAACTACAAAAAATCTCATAGGGCCGTTTGATCGGTAGGCCAATCGGCCCAAAGCGTTTTACACGAAAGGTTTATGATTTTAGCAAACACAATACAGAAAAATAAGTATATATTTGCAAGAATAACGTCACCTAACTATTATTACTCTTATGCATTCGATAGACAGTAATCTTACTAATATTATTAATGCGAAAGTTTAGAGGGATGGATGCATGTTAGGTCTACCAATATTGATGAAATAAGTTACAGATGTAGAACATAGTCTGGAGGAACGCATAGGCTACTTAATAAGTTTTATTTTTAGCGCAAACGGAATCGCGGGAAACTAAAAAATCATGGAATAAAAGTTTCAAGTCCTTCCAAAACATAGGACCTTTTTTTTGGTTACATGTATATATTTAAATTAAAATCAGTTTCAAAGTGATCAGTGCTCTTTTAGTTCAGTTTTTTGGGGCTCAGGTTGGAAACGAATAATTACACGTAACATAGAAATTTAACACAAAAATCGTATAATATGATATATTGTCAGTTGAATACTTTTCTGTTTAAATTTATGGATATGCTTCTTTTTATGCAGTGTGAAACAGCGTGTTATATGGATTCCGTGTTAGTAATGTGCAGTCCGGATCTAGAGTTATTTGCCTCTAACTCTATAGTAAATTGGATTTTAGAATTTATGTTGTTAGAGTGGTCTAAAAATGCAGTCACTCTGTTAGATAATAAAATGTAAACGTCGTGAATTCAAATAGTTGAAATTTAACATAATAAATTGTACTAAAGTTTATGAGTTTCTCGTATATTGTTTGTTGCCTTTTTTGTAGCTTATTCTGAATTTATATAAGATGTCAAATCTACTAGAGAATAACTAGATCAGTTTTCAATTTTAATAATATCCTAACATATAATTAATATTCAATAATCGTTTCTTCTATATGTTCTTCCAGACTGACTGACAGACTGTTATATAATCTATATGTATGCCAAATTTCATCGAGATCCGTTCAGACGTGTTGGATGTGCCTTCAAACAAACATTCCATCTAAACAATTTCATTTATAATATTAGTAAGAAGTAAAATAACTCGACCGGAAACATAAAAACCCTCAACATATTTTAGAAAATGCGGATCTAATTCCTTTGCGTATATTAGAAAATGATATAATAAAGAAGCCGATTCAAGCAAACGCCCCCAAGCAAAGTTAATTCTTGCTTAGGCTATAACAGTTTTTAAGAGCAAATTAATATAATATCTTTTAGTAGTAGAAATGTTTAACACCTTGTATTAATAACTGCCAAAAAATACAGCAATTTTATATTTGTAAAGGGAAGGAACTTGGATCTCCACTAAGAAGAAATACCTCAAATGTCAGCGGCAGGAATTCATCCAAAATACTCTTTGGTATACATGCAAAACGCTATTCTAATTTGAAATAACAACACATGTAAAATGGTTAATTTTAAGATGAATTTCCAAGTAAAGAGAAAGTTGGGAGGGTTAAAAATAATAAAATTACTGGGTAAAGCATTTGTGGGATTGTAAACTTTTCTGTTTAAACTATTAACACAAAATTAAATTGTCAGTTTACGATGCGGACCTAAAACTATCAAACTTATTTTATTACTTAATGATTTAGTTATTTAGAAAGTTGCCAACTTAATTGAGGTACAACATTTATTTGTCCTCACTTTTAGTTACATCTAATTTAATAATTTTTTTTTAATATATTATGTATTTGAATATTTTTTAAAAAAATATATTTACATAAATAAACTTTGATTACTTTAAAAATAGAGAGAATATTAATTTGTTTTCTAGTATTATGTTTAAAACTTAAAAAGATTAAGAACGTTCTTTGTTAGTCAGTTTATATAAATTTTATCAAACTAAAATTATAGTCTGCGTAGTTAAATTAATTTAGTTTGCTTTCTTCGACATTCTAAAACATCTGAAGATCGTTATAGAAATTTAAATAATTAGTTTAAAAATCGTTCTATTTTTAATAAATTACGTAATTTGAAAATTTTATTTTTTAATTTCATCAAATACGTTTTACACAAGTATTATAAATTAAAATCAGATTCTTAATCTAACTTTTCACGTAACAGAGACTTTAAGTGACAGTTTAAGTTAAAATCATATTTTATTATTTAAGCTGGAGTAGCGTCAACAGAAATGGCACATTCTTGTTGCCTCAGAGGTTAAACCCGAAATACCTTTATTCCATAATTCATGAACATTAGCCCACGTGAAAGTAACGTAAGACGCTCAAATAAATAACCTCAGTGTAATATAGAACAAAGATGGCCGCCGACTGTGCAAGATGGCGGACTACTAACAATGTTACTACGATTCTTTTCTAGAAATCAAATTAGTGATATTAGGATTGGTAAAATTATGAAATTACACGACAATTAAATTCTACGATTAGTTATTCTGATTTGTATAAAAAGATCAAGTAAAATGTTTCTTGTTATGGTAAAAATAATTATTTAGCAAAAAACAATAATAATATTGTCACTCAAATTGTTTCTATGATCTAATTAAGAAAGAATTCAAGAAAGTTTAAAACTTGATTCATCAAAACAGATATTATTTGACACACTAATTTCATTAACAGTTTTTTTTAATTGCGACACATGTTTTCTATGTCATACTCAAAACATTCACCATAGATTCTCTCTCGTGAAAGCTGAAAAGGAAAAAGGTGTTAAAATACCTAGATTTGGCTCACGAGGTTACCGCCATGTGGCGTATGTAATCGACTACCATTATTCCGATAGTCGTGTCGGTAAATGGACTGATAGCGAAGAGCTATAATACAACAAGCTCTCGCTACAAAGTTGGATTAAGGGCCCGATACAAAAGGCAGTTATCCTAGAAACCGCGCGCATCGTGAGAAGGTTCCTGTCCCTGCAGCCCTGACCACTGGTTGTTTGAGTCATGGGATTCCGCAGCCGGTGATGTTCTGTTTTTAATATAAAAATCTGGATGACCGAGCTTTGTTCGGTATTCTTTTTTTTTCAATTGTGTTTTTTGGAAATTGTATTTTATATTACTAATAAAATGATGAAATATGAATAATATTTTTCGATCTCACCGATAGAAAAAGTTAAGTTTATGTTTAAGTTGATTATCGATAAAACACGAATAAAATGACATGTTCTAAAATTGATTCCTAATTAGATCGATGTATCGCCCCCGAAACCCCCATATACTAAATTTTATGAAAATCGTTGGAGCCGATTCCGAGATTCCAATTATATATAGATATATACAAGAATTGCTCATTTAAAGATATAAGATATGTTTTGTATATATATTTTTTTGGATATGAAATGTACTATATTAAAAATATGATAAATAAATGTATATCGTATGTAATATAATGAAACAATTATTCATTGTAATAATGATTTAGTAAATAACCTAAAGTAATCCTCTTAGTTTCTGCACATTGTTTCAACCGCATCTGAAAATTTAATTGTATAACTTCTCAGCTTTATGCAGTTTCGTGTTTAATAGAAGCATGCTAAGTAAACTCTCTTGTGGAATATAAAATTAATATTTAAGGTGAAATATGATGAATAACACAAGTTTTACTTGGGAAAATTTATTTATGAAAGACAATGAAAAATATTTGACGTATGACAGATGTACACTTTTTTTCATAAACTAAAACCAGACTAAAACCAGCCAGTGCTCATCTCAGCAGATTACAAACTCCAACAAAATACTGTGAGCCAAGCTATAATAAGCTCTTATTAAGTACTATCATAAGTTAAAAGTATCTATCTGATGGTTATATAGTCAAACCTGGTTAAGCGAGAGTCTAAGGAACCGCGATATTTTTTTTGATTATAGAGGGTTTTGTATAACCCAAATTTCTCAGAAGACAATGACTCTCGCTTATAGAAGTTTCTCGTTCATCCAAACATGGACTGTACTTATGTGCGTATAATAAAAAAAATCTAAAATTAATTTACTGCCACCAGTTAACCAAACCGTGGTTTTCCACTGCCGTAAAGTTAAAAAAAATATATCTCAAAAATATTGGTTTTTTAAACAATGAAAATTGATAATAAGTATATTAAAATACGTCTAAATGGTGTGATTCAGTAATATTCATACTAAATATCAATATCATAGAAAATCTGTCATTACGTTCCAAAATTATTAAATCTGATTTACAATTTGTTGGATCCGTATGATAAATAGAGCAATCGACTGTTACCGCAATATAATAGATAATCCCTACTTATTATATCCAAAATAATTACACGCCCGACTCTGTGCTAATTTATCGCCTAACCTAAATTTACATACGATATTTGCATAAATAATTTCAACGTTCATTTCATATCAAATTTCATATGCTTGCAATTTTACTCTCTGCATAGAAAACTTTCAGAAATAAATGCAATTAAGACTAAGACGCACACTAGACACTTCTAGTCCCCCTATAGTTCGATTGTGCGCTTCATCAGTATGCGC